CATAGGATTATCCATGTTTCATTTTAGCAGATGCATATACTGTACCTGAAAAAAGAGAGGTGGATGAATAAATTAGATACAATCTAGGCTTTTTTTATTTTGCTATTTGAATTTTTTTTTTTAGATCTCAGAAGACCCTGTGCATTTATATGTACAGCTAAAAAGTTGTCAATCATAGGACAAACACAACCGTTTTGAGGGCATTGGGAGATTTGTTTCCTAGTGCGTTACGCAATATGCCAACTAACATTGTCCAAATAAAGGAATAATCTATCTATTTTATTAGAATATGGAATTATAGGACTGGAAGGAACTTTAGAGGTCTTCTAGTCCAAACCCCCACTCAAGGCAGGAGACTTTACATCATTCCAGTCCAATGGTTGCCCAGTCTATTTTTGAAAACCTCCAGCAATGGAACATCCAAAACTATAGGAGGCAAACTATTCCTTTGACTGATTATACTCACTGTCATATTTCTCCTTATTTCTAGTTAGAATCACTCTTTAACAAGCTCCCATTCACTATTTCTTATGGTGCCTTCTGGTACTTTAAAGAATAAGCCAATCCCCTCTTTTCTATGACAGCCCCTCAAGTATTGGAAGACATATATCATTTCTCCAAATCCCTCTCTTCAATATGCTAGACATACCTAGCTCCCTCAACCATTCATCATATCATTTATCTTTCAGATCCTTATAATCTTTTTGCTCCTCTCTGTACACTTTCTGGGATCCCAGCATCATTTTTGTATTGTAGTGATCAGCACTGAACACAATATACCAAGAATGGCATCACTAGTATAGTGTAAAGCAGGGTTGTAAAATTCAAGGGCCACAAATCAGATCCATGAGTAGTTTGGAGGCAAGGCTGCCCTGGAAGAAGTGAAGGACCTCCCTGTGATATTTTTGCCTGGCCCAGGCCGACTGGTGCTGATCTACAACCTGGTGGCAGCCACCTAGGCTGGAACATGACTAGCCTTAGATCTGTGGGATCACCTTGGAGCCTATGAGGAGCCAACCCATCCCTGCCCCCAGGTGTGTGCACAGGATGCAGTGAGCATGCCTGGGGACCAAGGAGCTCCATAGCACATACCGTGCAGGTGCCCTGCAAACTGGCTGTGGTCTGAGCACTTAACTTTAACCCAGGAATCCAGCGCTCATGTGCTCACCACCTCCTGTCTGCCCACCTGGGGATGAGGGTGAGGTGGCAGGGCGATCCCATGGGTCATATATAAGGCCAGGCTTAGGAACCAACACCATACATGGCCCAAGTTTGCTGCTTGCTCACATGCTCTAGCCTTATTGTTTGAGTGCAGGAATGACTTTCAACCAGACATGTCAAACATAAGGCCCAGATTTGGTCTGCAGGACACTACAGAGACAATGAGGGATTAGATGCCTCCAAGTGCACACAGGAGACAGTGAGGGTGCAGGGGCTTATAGTGTCTGGCAGCAGCCTGCCCACCAAGGAGCTCCATAGCACATACCGTGCAGGTGGGTTCTGCGTTCTGTGACCAGCAGGTGGTCCTAAGCTGCAGGTGGATACAGATGCACCAGGGAGGAGCCACATGATCCAGCCTTTTGGAAGTGCTGGGCAGTCGTCCATCTGCCTGAATGCTCTGACTCACTGTTCGTCTTTGCTCGCCCATGGCTGGGCATATGGCTGGGCAGCTGCCAGGTGTGTCTGGCAGGCTAGCTGGGTAGTTGCCTGATGTGTCTGGCAGGCTGGATCATATGCTTCCCCTTGTGCCTCTACCTTTGCCTGCTGCTGGTGTTCCACCTGCTTCTTGGAGCGTCAGCCCAGCAATTGCGGTGCTTGGACCCACCTGCTCTGTGCGGACTATGGAGTCCCAGATGCCATTTGGAGATGGGGGTTCTTCACCATTCCTGTTGGCTGGGGCCTTTGCAAGTGGGTGGTGAGGGCAGTATTCTTACTAAAGAATGTTTGATGGTGGGGACCAAGCGTGCAGAGGCTGCAGTGTGGTGGTGACTGTGACCAGCTGGGCTGCCTTGGGGCAATCTCTCTGTCTTTGTTCCTCTAGTGGATCAGGTCCTTGCAGCCACCGTGGTCCTTCCCCCCTCTGCCAGAAACCCACTCTATTCCCCCCAGCCCTGCCTGATCTCCCACAGGGCTTCCCCCTGACATGAGTGATGCTGAGATGGCCACGCCCAACAAGGCCACACTCACCCATTGAGTAATGACCACCTGGCCATGCCCACCTGACCCGTGCCCTCACATCCCCCTTGAAGGCAGCCACAGTGCTGATGTGGCCCTTAGTGCAATTGAGTTTGACATTCCTGGTATAAAGTTATACTGTCACGTTTCGTGATCTTGATACTATCTTTTTATTGATGCAGCACAGGGCTGCAATGCCTCTTTTTGGTAGCTGAAGCATACAGCCACCTCATACTTAAGTGGGGGTCCACTAGGATACCTAGATCCTTTTCACAATAACATTTTTTACTTATGTATTTGGTTTTCTTGTCTAGTTGCAGGACTTTACTTTTTTTACCACTGAACTGCATTTTCTTGGGCCCAAAGCTCAAGTTGTGACAAGTTCCTTCTGAATCTTAAATATATCTTCCAAAGTGCTACCCCCCCTCATTTTAGGGACATTTGAAAATTTGATGAGACCCCTATCTATCCCCTCATCTAAATCATTAATGGAAATATTGAAGATTACTACTTATATAATGTGATAACCAAGACAGAACCTTGAGGTATTTGGAAAATGTTGGAAAACAATTTTGCCCTCCTGGGTCAATACAAATGAATGAAAAATGTAATTTAGAAAAATAACATCTGCAAATAGTCTACTGCTAAAACTTCTAAAAGGTATATACATTTAAATAAAATAATGGTAACAAACTACATTGAAAATTATTATGTCCCATTAAATCCTTATATAAATAACTTGCTTAATTATATTGTTCCTTTAGTTTCGGAGCTACCGTATTTTTGGGAATCTATATAGTTTTTATAACCATGATTTATCACTCAGTTTGTTCTAAGATTCTACTAAATTTAAGTTTATTCAACAATAAATCACTATTATCATTTAATGTGATAAATATAATATCCCAAAAATTTCTTCCAATGTATATTTAAGCAAGATCCCTATTAAAACTTGGGGAATATTTTTATATAGAGCTTTCCAAAACTTTAATTTCCATTTTAGCAATAGCAGTTAGACTTATATACCGCTTCATAGGGCTTTCAGCCCTAAGTGGTTTACAGAGTCAGCATATCGCCCCCACAGTCTGGGTCCTCATTTTACCCACCTCGGAAGGATGGAGGGATGAGTCAACCCTGAGCTGGTGAGATTTGAACCACTGAACTGCAGATAACAGTCAGCTGAAGTGGCTGCAGTACAGCACTCTAACTACTGCGCCACCTCGGCTCTTAATTTTATTTATTTACTTTATGGAAAGATAACTTCCTTCAGCAAAAGCCAAAGATTCATAGAGGTATCACCAGGTGAAACTGGAATTAGTTCTAGGTTGCTTCTCTTCCTGAGTAGTTTCCAACCATTGTTTCTTATCTTGCTCTCTGGTGTTTCATAAAATATGTTGACCACGAGCTCTTAGAAGAATCATGGTTGTGACAATCTTCTTCCATTTGAGAATTATGAAAGCCACTATGGCTATGCTCTTAGGAACCTTCAGTGCAGCAGAAATTTTATTGTAGTCTTCCCCAGATTTGTGGCTTGCAATCATCTTGTCTCTGAGCTCTGCAGGCAGTTCAGCTGTGGGTACTTCTATAGAGAGGTGTATGCTTTTCCAAATCATGTCCAATCAATTTAATTTACTACAGACTCACTCCCATCAAGATGTAGAAATGTCAGCAAGGATCAAGAGAACTGGGAGGCACCTGACTTAAGTTTCAAGTGTTGTTGAAAGGGTTTGAATACTTATGCCAATATATTTCATTTTTTAAAAATAAATTTACAGACATTTCTAAAATTCTATTTTTACTTCTTCAGGATATTGAGTATAGATTAATGAGAAAAAATGAATTTCAACAACTGTAGAATCAAGCTGCAGCATAACAAAATTGGCAAAAGTGAGTTTTTCTACCACCTTAAGCACAAAGTCAGCTGACTAATTTTAGACCAGTCACACTCTCTCTCTCTCTGAGCTCTAGGAAGGAGGCAATGCTTTTTAGAAAAAGAGGCCATTATACATCCCCATTTAGCAATTAGGGATGTAGGATATTCTCTAAGCAACATCTGATGTTCTACCATTCTTTTGTTTTGAGAGGCCTTCATCTCATGTATGTCTCCTTTCTAACATTATTTTATTGATAGAAGTAAAAAAAAGACAGGAAAAAGCAAAACTGTGAGGAATATATTAGAGACATGAGGGGAAAAACTTAGCTTTTTGATAAGTCACTTAAGACTTGTTGCCCAATCATGAGTCATAAAAATCAGAAAATTTTAGTTTTAGCCACCCACAGCAAAGCAGATCAAGCTACAAATTTCTAAAAATAATCAACTAGAATCACAATTTTATACCCTTATATTTATCCATCATTTTTTAAAAAAAAATAGTCTCACTTCTTTATTTTAGCTTCCCTTATTAGTCTTCTTCCTTGTTCTTTAATAAAAAGAATGGCTCACAAATGGTGGAGATCTTCAAAAAGGAATAGCAGGCTGTAGCAAAAAAGAGCCCCTTTTAGCTTAATAAAGATTAATAGCTTTTAAAAATGATCAAGAAATGAAAGGCACAACTTACTATCCATTTAAAAAAATAAATTCTAAGGTGACTATTTCTTCAATCACAAACTGATTACAACCCTGCTCCCCAGCTTTCAGCACAACAGCAGCTCCTGAAGCAATTTGCAGATCTTTTGCTGTATCAGAGGATCTTGTGAGATAATTCAGAGACTTTCCCTAAACCAGAAGAGACATGTAAGTTAAAGGATTGCTGGTTCTTCTGTTGGTATTTGAAGAAGCTATATTCAAGAGGAAAATCCCTCAAGGATCCTTCCCTGGATATGTGTCAGTTGGCCATCTTTTCACTGGAAGTGTAGAATCTGCATAGTTTAGAAAGAGTATATTTGATATTCTTATTTCTCATGCTATAGATGATTGGATTGAACAGTGGTGGAAGAAGCGAATACATAACAGTTAGCCCAAAATCTAAGTAAGATGGGGTGTTAGACTGAGGTCTCAGGTAGGCAAAAAATCCATTTAAGAAAAACATAAACACTACTATAAGGTGGGGAATACAAGTTGATAAGGCTTTTTGCCTTCCATGTTCAGAAGGAATTCTTTGCATTGCATTGAAGATCATGGCATAAGATACAATTATAAAAGTACAACAGCCTAATCCTGCAATTACACTGGCCACAATAATTCCAACTTCAACTAGATTGAAACCAGAGCATGATAGTTTTAGCAATTGTGGAACTTCACAAAAGAATTGGTTGACAACATTAGAACAAAAAAGGATTGAAAAGGTTCCAGTGGTATGCAACATTCCATAAAGAAGACTGGTAACCCAAACCAGAATCATCATTTCAATGCAGGCTTTCCAATTCATAACCTTCTCATAGTGCAATGGATGGCAAATGGCAACATACCGATCATATGCCATGACTGTCAGAAGAGATACATTAGAACCCAGAAAAGAGATAAAGAGAAAAACCTGAACAACACAACCAAAGTAAGAAATGTATCTGATACCTATAAGGGAATTCAGCATGGATTTGGGAACAATAACAGAAACAGAGCCTACATCCTGCAGTGCTAAATTCATCAGAAAAAAGTACATAGGTCTATGCAGTTCCTGTTCAAAGGCTATGGCACAGACAATGAGTAGATTTGCTATTGTGATTGCCAGGTATAACACAAAAAACAAGAAGAAACACAGAAGCTGCAGTTGCCGAGTTGCTGAGAATTCCAGGAGTAGAAAATAAGGCACTGTGGTTTGATTATCCATGTTTCATTTATGACAAAGCTGTATGGCATAGCTGTAAGGAATCAAAGGAAAGAGATGCAGTTAGATAAAATTTGAAAGTAGCATTTTGATATAGTGTGAGAATAGAAAAATAAATGAATTATAAAGCACAGTCAGGATTAACAGAGGATCAGACCCTGGAGAAAAATAGATTCAGGATGGGCATATACAGTATTAAATCACACTTTTGCCATTTTCTAACCATCTATACTAAAGAACAAACAAACAACATCACATTTACCTTTGTTACTTCTTTCTAGTTCTGTTACTTCATTTACTGAACAAAATGACTGCTTGGGAATAGAGCCGACGCATGGCGCATTGGTTAGAGTGCAGTACTGCAGGCCACTTCAGCTGACTGCTATCTGCAGTTCGGCGGTTCAAATCTCACTGGCTCAAGGTTGACTTAGCCTTCCATCCTTCCGAGGTGGGTGAAATGAGGACCCAGACTGTGGGGGCGATATGCTGACTCTGTAAACCGCTTAGAGAGGGCTGAAAGCCCTATGAAGTGGTATATAAGTCTAACTGCTATTGCTATTGCTAAATTCTGTAGCAAAAAATTGCATTGTATGAAGAAGTACTGTTCTAGGTTTTGACTAAAATCAAGACAGATTTTATCAAGTAATTAATTACCTTATGAGAAAAGAGGGGGGAGAAAACTACCTACTCTTTCAGTTTCTAATTATTTGTTTGTATGTGTACATAAACACATACATAATTAATAAAAAAATAAATATTTTAAAATAATAATTTGATTATTATCTCTTCTATTATATTTACTTTCTTAAAGGGTACAATTTCATAATATGCCATCTCATAAAGGAGTTTATTTTGGAAATTCTTTCTTAAATCACATTAAAACTGAAATGTAACCTAAGACCAGTTTGGTGTAGTGGTTAAGACTGTGTTGGCAAACCTTTCAACACTGTGCCAAAAGGGGAGTGTATGTGTGCCGGAAACTGGAAAAGCGAACGATCTTCTGGTTTCTGGCACGCTCATGTGTGCCAGCCACCTGCTCTTCCGGTTTCTGGCGTGCATGCATGAACAAAGACCAGCTGTCCAGGGCCCATGTATGGCTCTGCTTGGCCTTTCGGGGTCCTCATGTCTCCTGGTCCCCATCGGGATGGTGGGACATCCCCACTGATGGCCCAGTTCTGCAGCCCCGGACAGGGAGAGGAAGGCCACCTTCCTCCACTGGAAAGCAAGAGCCTCTTCCCGGCCTCAGAGATAAAGGTGTCGGTGTTCCTGGGGCTCAGGTTGAGGGGCAGCAGGTGGGAGAGCTTTGCTGCAACTCTGGCCAGAATGAAGTGCCCCCCAGTCCGTAACTGAGAACAAACCAGTGCAGCTCCTCCCTGCTTTCTGCCTGGCAAGCTTCTTACCACTTGGCGGTGTCTCCATGCTGCACTCTCCTCCGGCCCTTCTTGGGCAGTTCACCTAAATAACAGCTGCTTCCCCTCCTTTTTCTCCTGGCTGCTCTAGCATCCTGGCCAGGAGCGGCAGCACAAAAACTGCCACCCCCTTACAGTGGTAGGAGCACTGGGGGAGGGGGCAGGCAGCTGTCCAGCCAGCAAATCCTGCCCCACATGGCCAAGCTGGCCAAGCACTTCAAATTGCACACGTGCATCAGTGCCGCAGGCTGGAGGGCTGGGGCCGCGCAAGAAGCCCACTTGGTCGGGGAGGGAGGGAAGGCCTGGTCGGCCCATCCTGGCTGGCAGCTCTTCTCCCCTTCCTCTTCTGTGTTCCAGCACACCGGCCACCTGGTCTTTGTCCACGCATGTGTGCCATAAACTGGAAGACCAGGTGGCCAGCGCACATGTGCGTGCTGGAAACTGGAAGATCATCTTCCCAGCACGCTCATGTGTACTAGGCCCTTTCAGTTTCTGACACTCCCATACATGTGAAGACCAGCTGGACAGCAGGCCAGAACCTGGAAGAGCAATGAGCAAGAGCTCCATGTGCCCAGAGAGATGGCTCTGCGTGCTATTTCTGGCATACATGCCAAAGTTTTGCATGGGGTTAAGGCATCAGACTAGAAACCAAGATAGCATAAGTGCTAGTCCTGCCTTTGGCATATAGCCAGCTGGGTAACCTTGAGCCAGTCCTAGAAAGAAGGTAATGGCAAAGCAATTCTGAAAAACCTTGGCAAGAAAACTGCAGAGAAAATTTTTTAAACAGTCTCTGAGAATCAGACATGATTTAAAAGAAATAAAACAAACAAAAAACTTAGGATATTGGGTAAAACACATTTTTTCATAATTATTCTTTATACCTTCCTTACATTCAGAATTTTTTAAGCAAATGTGCTTTTTATAGATGTGTTGCAAATTATTAAACGTTTTTGTGTCTGTGTATACAAAAACCACCATTTTAAATGCTTGTGATTTAAGTTGTTAGGACCAAAGAGAAAAAATCCAGATAGACACATAGACACATAGAATTCAAATTACATTAGTTACAGCCAAACACAAATCTCTTGGTGGGAAATAATAAAACAAGATGCTAAGAAATGTAGGAAAAATGTGCCAAGTAGATCCAATTACAGGGAACAACATATATAGCAGTAGACATATAAAACATAGGTGCTGGAAAAAGGAATAAAATTGGGCTATAGGAAATACCATCCAGTATGTATGTATAGGACTAAAACTTGGCAAGTTGGAATGAGTAAGGTGATAATGGTTGTGCCAAAAACAATATGGATGGGAAATAGAGAACACGCAATGATGAAATACAAATATAGATGTTAGCTGAAGTCAAGATCCACAGGAAGAAAGGCAATGAAGTGCCAAGGATGTGGGAAAGAGGGACAGAGTAAGAAAGCAGCTGGAAAGTGAGAAAGGAAAAAGTTGCTATTATTTCTTTCTTGATTTCTTTCCACTCATGAAGCTAACAAACAAAATATACAGTTTTTGGAGTGCATAATCTATAAATTAGAAGAAGAATATGATTCTTCTTATAGACAATAAACTTTACACAGTTTGCAAATAAAAGGATTTGAAACATGTATCAGAAAGACATCACTTTAATACAACAGAGATTCTGCACATTAAATGGAAAACGAATAATAATATGCTTCATAAGAAAGGTGAAATCAGTCCTGTCTGTCTGGAAGTCATTTAGTGGGCCGAGGTGGCGCAGTGGGTAGAGTGCAGTACTGCAGGCCACTTCAGCTGACTGCTATCAGCAGTTCAGCGGTTCAAATCTCAGCGACTCAAGGCTGACTCAGCCTTCCATCCTTCCAAGGTGGGTAAAATGAGGACCCAGACTGTGGGGGCAATATGCTGACTCTGTAAACCGCTTAGAGAGGGTTGAAAGCCCTATGAAGCGGTATATAAGTCTAACTGCTATTGCTATTGCTATACTGTGTGGGTTTATATGATGTCAACATTTTTTATTTATGCAAAGAAACTGTAAAGGGAAGCCAGCAGTGGTGGAAAATACAGAAATGAAAGTAGTAAAAATAAAAGAGTTTTAAAGTCCACCACATAACTAGCAACATATAGGAATTCAAAATGTAGTTCATTAGCTCTAATTAAACCTTGGTATCTTTTACTAATTCATTCAATAGTCAAATCATTTATGCTCTTACATTTTCTCCATTGCCATGTATACTGGTAAATAAATTTTAACTCTTAAACCATACATTCAAAACAGATGTATTTTTTATTAAATACATTTCTTATTGCTTTATAAACATCGTGTTGTCTGGGTATTTAATTTGCATAACAATACAAATTACAAATTAATCTCCACTCCTTTTTTCCAACCATTGGTAAAATAAATTCCATATTTGATAATATTCAGTGACCTTTTTCTGCTTAGTTTCAATATCAATCTATTTCCACAATTTGTATCTTCTTAACTATGTCTTCATCTCGCGGTATATCTTCATTTCCCCAGTATTGTGAAAAAATAATCATTGCTGCTGTTAAGACATGTAATATTAAATACATACTTTTCTTATCAAGTTTTTCTGATAGTATACCTAATAAAAACAATTCAGGTTTATAATCTATATGTTTCCCCATCATCTTTTCTAACCAATCTTTGTCCAATTTTTTTTTGCTTTGACACACATCCAACCACATATGATAAAATGTGCCCATTTTTAAATTACATTTCCAACATTTGCTAGACAGGTTTTTAAACATTTTTGCTAATCCAGCAGGTGGTAGATGCCCTCTATAAAACATTTTATATAGGTTTTCTTTATAAGAAATCACCATTGTTAATTTATAATTCATTTCCCATAAGTTATGCCATTTCTCTAGTTCTATGGTATATTATACCCAAAAAATTTCTATTTAACTATTGTGTCTTTTATTTGTTCATTTTCCATTTTCAAATTCAGTAAGAAGTTCTTAATTAGTTTTTCATCAGAGTGTAAGAGTGTCTGATCAAAAAGTGTTTGTCCTTTATAAAAGCTGTATTTTTCATATCTAAATCATATCTAGATTGTATTTGCAATATCGGCCAACACGGTAATGTAATGCCCTGGTCTTCAAGCTCTTGTTTCAATTTCATTTCCCTTCATTGTCCAAAATGTCTTTTAAGTAACATTTTTTTTCAAATCTCACCAAATTTGGATATGTAAAAGCTTTCATCATTGAGAGCCATTCTGAGATTTTCAAGTATATGTTGGGTTTTATTTTTCCCATAAAGATATTAGTGAATTTTTTATATAGTGAAAGTATCTATTGCTTTTATTTTTTTTCATACCACAGGAACATGTGCCATCCCAATTGTAAGTCTCTACAAAAAGAAAAACTGGCAGAAGAAGTGAACTTCCAAATAGTTAAGAAAGTAGAATATTTGGGAATATACCTAACAGCAAGATGCACAACAATAAAAGAAGATTGTTACATACTGACAGACAGTATGGTAGTTTCCACCAAAGTCCTCTGATCCGGTGGGAAAATACTGAAAAGTGATTGGTTAAGACGTCTGACAGCTACCTATAAAAGGGATGCTGCCAGACAGTCTTTGCTGGATTGTACATAGTTGTCACATAATAAAGAGCTGTTGTTACTGCAAGCCTGAGTCTTCCTCTTCCATTCACCCGATCTAACATTGGTGATGAAGGTGGGATTGGATGGCAACTAGGCACCAAAAAGAGCTGATTAACAATCAGCAGTCAATCCAGCCAGAGCTAACCATCTTTAGCGGCAAATTTGAAATTGCCCCGCTGAACAAAGATGACAACACACACCCCACCAGCTCTTTACAACCCAGCAACTTAACACTGGGATTCATACATGATGAGATTCAAATGTTTTCTCAAAGCTAATCACCTTCTCGGGCTCTCAGAGAATCACAAGACAGCTATGTTCCTGAGCTACTGTGGGTATTCAACACCGCCAAGGACCTATCCGAGCCAATGACGGTAAGGACCATCCCTTGGTCGGTGCTACAGACAACATTGAGTATGCACTATGGTCCCAAACCATCCAAATATGTTTGGAGGCATGAATTCAACCTCCAAAATAAAAATGAAGGTGAAACAATAAACCAGTACGTTGCCACACTTCGCAAACTTCAGTCTACTTCAACTACTGCTGCTGGACAGAATCATTTGTGACATTCAAGATATAAATCTGCAGAGGAGGTTGCTCACAAAGACAAACTTCACACTACAAATCATGCTGGATAAAGCCAGAGCCACCGAGTCCTCAACCAAGTCAACGGAAATGCTGCAGAGACAGAACAGCCCAAGAAGCGCGTGCAAGAGTGCTGAAGTCCATCGCAAGACTGCCGAGAAAGAACTCTGACCGCAAGGACATGGTATGCCGCATGCGCACAGAAAAGAAACAACCAGTGCGGAAATTCAAAACCCATTTCCCAACTTATGCCGGCTATGGGGACGCCATTTGCCAATACTGCGATCGTAAGTGACACATCGCAAGGGTCTGCCGAAGTGAACTTTCAGCAGCACCAAAGCAGCCGTCTGTCCAAACCACACACCCGAGACCGCCCAGATGAGAGGCATGGAAGCCTCTGCAAAGGCAAGAAAGGGCAGGGAACAATGGCACATTCCAGACAATCATTGGGCAAGCAAGCACCTGGCAGAACAAGAAGCTTTGAATCTCCATCCTACTTGAAGGATCTCCATGCAGCATGGATATTGATACCGGCTCCTTGCTGTCCATCATGTCCTGGGCCACACTGAAAAAGGTCATTCCCAACTTGAGGAAGCACAATCTGAGGGTTCCAGATGTATGCCTGAGGGACTACCAGGGGAACCAAATCCCCGTTTTGGGTCAAGGCATCTTCCTGGTGCAATTTAAAAACTTTAATGGCTTGCTCCCTGTAACAGTGGTTGGCAAAGCCCTGCAGAGTCTCCTAGGCTTAGACTGGTTTGAATCCCTGGGTTTGGGGGATGACCGGCATCAATACTGTTCGTGATGACAGTACCGAAGAACTGCTGAGAGAGTTCGAGGACGTCTTTGGCACCGGTCTAAGCAAGTATGTGGGGACCACAATCACCTTCAATTTGGACCCCAAGGTTGTCCCCATTAGATTAAAGCCCTGGAGGGTCCCTATCGCCCTCCATCCCAAAATTGACCTTGAATTAGACAAGGTAATTGGCCAAGGGATTATGGAGTCAGTTGATCATGCACACTGGGAGACTCCTATAGTGACCCTGGTCAAGCCTGATGGGTCTGTCCACATCTGCACGGATACAAGTGCACTATCAATAAAGCCCTACAACAAAGTGCTTATCCAGTGCCCATTGTTCGGCATTTACTTCATTCCCTTGGCCCGGGAAAAGTATTTGCTAAATTAGATATGCAGTCATACCAGCAATTGCCTGTAGATGGCACAATAGCGGAGGCCCAGACCATTGTGATGCATAGGGTGCATTTAAATGCTGCAATTTGGAGTTAGTATCGCCCCTGGACTGTTCCAAAATGTTGTGGAACAGCTTTTGTAGGGGATACAAGGTGTCGTCCCCTATTTTGATGATGTCTTGGTATCAGCTGCAAATAAGGAGCAACTTTTTAAAAGATTATGAACAGTTTTGACCAGAATTAGTGAAAAAGGCCTCTGCTTGAAAAAAGAAAAATGCCAAATTAATGTACCAAGGGTTGAATTCCTGGGGTATTTGATCGACAGATCCAGAATTCACCCAACAAATTAAAAAAATTAAAGCAATCCAGGATGCCCCCATACCTTGCAATCAGACCAAGCTGCAGGCATTCCTCAGATTTCTCAATTTTTACAGTGTGTTTCTCAAGCAGAAAGCTACTGTCGCTGAGCCCTTGCATCGGCTCCTTGGCAAGAATGCCAGATGGACCTGGGGCAAAGCCAAGGCCACCACTTTTGTTACGGTTAAAAGACTGCTGTCAGCAGACACATTCCTGGTCCAATATAACCAGACTCTGCCACTTGTCCTGACTTGTGATGCTTCTCTTTTTGGTGTCGGAGTGGTCCTCAGCCATCACATGCCCAATGGGACCGAAGCTCCCATTGCATATTACTCGAGGACCCCGTTAGCTTCCGAGTGCAACTACAGCCAACTGGACTGTGAGGCTCTGGCTGTGGTAGCTGGGGTCAAGAGATTTCACGAATACCTGTATGGCTGTGATTTTGAAATCATTATGTATCATAAACCTCTATTTTGGCTCCTGGCTGGGGACCAACCAATATCACATCATTGTCACCATGAATGACACGCTGGACTATTTTCCTTGCGGCCTACAGCTACCACCTAGTTTACTAGCTGGCGAAGACTCTGGGCCACGCTGACGCCCTCAGCAGGTGCCTGCTACCTGAACATTTGGATGATCTGACTCCTGACACCTTCAGTGGTTTTGCTCACTGACTGCCTTGAGGCCGGCTCGGTGTCATCCAGACAGGTCGCCCACTACTCAGCTAGAGACAAGACCATTTCTCAAGTTCTCAACTGGGTGTGGAGGGGGTGGCCCAAAGGGCTGGTTGGGTCTGAATTCAAATCGTTTGTAAATAAGAAAGATGAATTATCTGTTTTGCGGGATTGTCTTCTGTGGGGGACTGAGTAATTATTCCACCCAAACTGCGAGTTGCAGTATTAGTATTAGTTGCAGTATATAACATAATGACAATAAAGACTATACTAGAGGTCTTGAATGTAGGGCATCCAGGAATTGTCTGGATGAAATCTTTGGCAAGGAGTTATGTGTGGTGGCCTAAAATGGATGGGGAGATAGAAAAGTGGGTGGCTACCTGCATACCATGCCAGGAGTCCAGACCAGCTCCCCCAGAGGCACCCACTAAGGAATGGGAACAGCCTCAGGCACTCTGGTCTAGGGTACACATTGACTTTGCCACCCTGGTTCATGTCCAGGTCTTTATGGTAGTCGTGGATGTCTACTCAAAGTGGCTAGAGATAGACCTCATGACCGCCACCATGGCAGAGGTGGTCATCAAGGCACTATGGAGACTTTTCTCCACTCACAGCCTGCCTGACATCCTAGTCTCAGACATGGGCCCCAATTCATGGCCATGCAATTTGAAACTTATTTAGCTACTCAGGGAATCAGACATGCCCTGGTCGCTCCCTTCCATCCATCCAGTAATGGACAGGAGGAGAGAATGGTGCAATCTGAAAATGAAGCCCTATCCAGGATGGGGCTGGGAGATTAGCAAACATGGGTAAACCAATTCCTCCTTTACTAGCACATCACTCCAAGTGCAACCACTGGCAGAAGTCTTGCTGAGCTTCTGATGGGTCGCCGGCTAAGATCGTCCTTAGACCGGCTGCACCCAAATTACTCTGCCAAATCATCTTCAGATTCAACTGGCAAACTTAGACATTTTAGCGTAGGGGATCAAGTTTATGCCCACAACTATGCTGGAAGGGGGGGGGGGTTTCTCTGGGTTCCTGCCACTGTTACAGGAATCACCGAATCTCGCTCTTACCATTTGGTGCTCAAGAACGGAAGAATTTGGAGGCAGCACATTGACCAACTCTGAGGCTGCCTCTCCCAGTCAAATCTTAGGCAACCAGGGGTAACTCCTACATGAATTAACCAAAGCCCTAGCCAAAAGGAGCATGAATTCCTTCCTTCCACAGACAACTCAAGCCCGAAGGTACCGGGTTACTTATCTGGTAAAGTTGCAGGGCTGCAGTGAGTTCTGAGCGAAGCAGGTCTAGAAACTCCAGCCACGTCCTGTGAAAAGTTCCAGAAGCTTCCACCAGGCAAAGCTAGAGAGGCAACAGGTCTGTCTGACCTGACCGAAGTTCCAGCACTTACTGAACTGTGCAGGTCAGAAAGAGTTACTAGAAAACTCACCTACCTGCGTGAGTACATAACCAGCTGGATCAGTCCAACTAAGAGGGGAGAGGTGTTACATACTAAGACAGTATGGTAGTTTCCACCAAAGTCCTCTGATTTAGTGGGAAAATACTCAAAGATGATTGGTTAAGATGTCTGACAGCTCTCTATAAAAGGGCTGCTGCCAGACAGAGTCTTTGCTGGATTGTACATAGTTGTCACTTAATAAAGAGCTGTTGTTACTGCAAGCCTGAGTCTGCATCTTCCATTCACCCAATCTAACAAAGATAATGATATGAAACTACTTAAGCAAATACAATTAGATTTGGAATAATGGAAAAACTTACACGTATCAATATTGGGAAGCATTGCCATGGTAAAAATGAATATCTTACCAAAACTGCTTTTCATGTTCCAAACCATACCCATAAAAATTGAAAGGAAATTTTTTGATGACTTAAATAAACTAACTTTGAAATTTATATGGCAAGGAAAATATTTTTTTTTTGAGGTATTTTATTAAAATTTATAGGCCGCCCTTTTCCCTGAGGGGACTCAGGGCGGCTTACAACCATTAGGG